CAGGAGCTTCCTGCTTTCCCTTTCGCCTCCCTGCATTGTGCCTACATATGCAAATTAACCCACATCTTGTTGGCAGTTAACTGCCAATCTTAGTTGGCATTTAATTTGCATATAGCCCTGATTAGCCAATGAAAAGGGTAGTGTCGTACGCCAATTACCATTTTTCTCTTTTATTAGTGTAGATATATAAAATTATTATTATTAATTTCAGAGATGGAGAGGGAAATAGAAACATCAATGATGAGAATCATTGATCGGCTGCCTCCTGCACGCCCCCTACTGGGGATCAAGCCCAAAACCCAGACATGTGCCCTGACCAGGAATGGAACTGTGACCTCCTGGTTCATAGGTCAGTGCTCAACCACTGAGCCACGCCAGCTGGGCATTCAGTCCCTGCTCTTGTTTAATGTATTTATTTCCCACTTCTATTCCCTCACTCATCACTCCCCTCTCCCCCTCCTCCATAGGTCATTGTTCTAATATGTTGGGCGTGTATTTATTTGTATGTGTTCTTACAGATTGTGTAAACTGGTATTATCAATCTACATAGCATGCAGATTCCTTCTTCACTTCACTCAGCTAGGTTTTTACGATTTCTCCTGTTGTGTATGATTATTCTCGTCTTACCTCTTCCCTGGGTGCTTACTCTGGGCCAGATTTAGTGTCAGCGCTTCAGTGCATTATCTCATCTGCTCTCACCAACAGCCCAGGAGCGGGGGACTGTCATTGGGGCAGTAATCTCAAACTGAGTGAAACAAGGCAGAATTAGGATCGGGCTTCGACAGACTGATGTACAGCAGTGCCAACAGCCGGGTAGTATCTGCTCAGCACACTCATCTCCTTAAATACCGCTGATTTCAGCCCTGGCTGGATTGACTCAGTGGTTAGAGCATCCGCCTGCATACTGAAGGGTTGTGGGTTCAATTCCCCATAGAGGGCACATACCCACCTCAGTTGCAGGCTCACTCCTGGGGCATGTGCAGAAGGCAACCAATCAATGTGTCTCTCTCACATCAATGTTTCTCTCTCTTTCCCCCTCCCTGTTCCACTCTATCTAAAAGCAATGGAGAAATACCCTCAAGTGAGGATAAAAGAAAAAAAAAGAATAAAAAATAAATAAATACTGCTGATTTCAGCTCTATAGACTTTCTTTCCTCCCTCTGCCAGGTCAAACAGCGAGTGAGCCTTTGGAATCACCCGGTACCCAAAGACAAAGGAGCTCCAGCAAGGCATTGGGAGACCATAAACAGCTTTTGGAAGCCAAGGTGACTGTTGAACATTGTAGGCTCAGCCCCGGTCCAAGCTCCATGGTTCCAACAGGAAATTAGAGAAACTGCAGAGTTTCTGAGACACCATAGTCGAACACGTCTCTGAAGAATTTCAGCAGAGCACGATTCGCACATTTTGTGTTCTAACCCAATGGGTAAAGGGACAGAGGCCAGTCATATCAGTTACCACCTTTTCTCAGGTGGGCTGGAGAGATGTGGGGATGGGGACTGAGCACTGCCTCAGCTCACCTGTCCAAGAGGGTGGGAGGGCTGACTGTGGACCCGGAAGCTACAAAAATGGATAGCCTCTTCCTGCAGAATCTGAACCCCTGCCTGGATACAGCTAAAGCTGTGGCCTTTATGTTTTTACTAGAGGCCCTGTGCACAAAATTCATGCAAGAGTAGGCCTTCGCAGCCCGGCTTCGTAAGGTTGTCCGGAAGGTCATCTGGAAGGATGTCTGGATGGTCGTTCTGCTGTTTGGCCGTTCGGTTGATTTGCGTATTACACTTTTATTATTATAGCTTGCTACAGGAATCTGGTAGAATAAATCTGCTCTTTTCTTTTAAAAATAATTTTGCCAACTGTTGCAGTTTTGCTACTATATCCAGTGTTACTCCCAAGTCATACGCCATAAAAATACCCCCAAACCCAATGTAGGGACATTTTTAGCCATGTGTGCAAGAAGACAGCTTCCTGCAATGCTGAGATTTCGTCAGAGATGTGTTTGATTATGGTTTTGCAGATCTTATCTTTTGATTCTCAAACTTTCATTTCTGTCTTACTATTCATTTTGGAAGTCGCATGTTTAAGATTTTCAACAATTGAAATTTTTTGGAATAGTCTCTGGCTCCTTTCCTATTCTTGCAGAAAATATATTCAGTATAGCTAATACCGTGTTTCTTTCAAATTATTCCTTTCTCTGACCCAGGATTGAAAGCATATTTTTATTGACTAGTTTTCATGTCTTGTCATCAGGCTACTGGTCTCTCATTGCCTTGTGGATCTAGTTGACTTTTCTTATAAAGAGCTTCTAACGGATTTTTTTCCCCCTAATATGTTTTATCTTCTAACTGCATGCCAGTAACAAACTGTTAATGTTGGGATCCTTTATACTATTTTACAGAACACAGTGAACACTTCTGTTCTGTGGAAGTAATGCCCAAGTATAGGGCATTAATGTAATGTGTACCCACCATGGACATAGGACAAATCAGAACACAAGAGACCCGTCTCAGCCTGAGCAATGGACGATGGGGTGACTAGACCTCGGCTCCGAAAGTTCTTGAGCTGAAACAGACAATAGGCTGTGCCCATCGAGCACAGAGGAGGGATGGAAGAGACAGGCCTGATGGAGCTTGAGCCACACTGGGGTGGAGGAAACCAGGCTGTGGGAACTCAGAGCTGCCCTGTTCAGCCCAGCGCTCGGAGAGGGCTTCCTGTAAGAAGCAGCATCTGAGCTGCCAGCTCATGGGGAAGCTCTAGGCCATAGGGCTCCATAGGGCTACTTTTCCCACACCCACTTCTTGACGTTGGAGCTTGACCCCCTTCAGGGGGTCACACAGACACAGAGACACGGAACCAGGCTTCAAGGAAGGGCTGTCAGCATCTCCTACGCAGACACTGGTTCACTGGGGGATTGGTGAAGCATGCAGTCCTTCCTGACAGTTTCACGAGAAGGCCTCTGACCCCAGGGGCCCAGGGACGTTTCCATCTTTGCCAAGTCTCCTCTTCTCTTTCTTAGAGTCAGAGTTTGGAGCGCAGCGCGCTGGAAAGCCATCTTCTCCTTGCAAGGTGAGACGTGGGACTGGAGAGAGAGCAGATGGAAGGTTCATTCTCCGGCAGTGGGCAGACTCTCTGACAGCCTGGGAGGATTTGACACCCCTCCTGGCAGCCAGTCCAACAGCGAAGGAGTAAGTACTTTCTTTCCTCCCTCC